TGGGTCTAGGAGACCTGTTGTTGTATTACTGTACAAGGAGATGTCAGGTTTTATTTGTTAGTTTGGAGCAAGACTAATCCCCTTGACCCCAATTCCTGGATTTCTTTTGTGCAAGTGAGATCTAGTTTCAGTTCTTCTCTGTGTGCAGAAAGTGACTGTGTGTCTCAAGAATAGCCGGGATGTGTTTAGCAGCAAGATACCCTATAAATATCGTAAAAGCTTCTGCTGGAGTGGCTTCATCACCCATATGTAAGCATAAACTTGAATTCTGTAGAGTACCAGAGCTTGCAAATGGAACAACACTGCACAGGCTCCTTGGAACTAATGGCCATTGGTTCTAGGCAGTGCACAAAGCATGAGAGTGTGGAGATCATAAGGAAGAGCTCACTTGTGCCATAAGCAGCTCACCTCCAGGAGATTCTGGCTGCAATGTTGTAAAGGAACTTTTCGAAGAAAGCTTTTTGGGAAGAACAGCACACAAGGGTGAGATGGTCTTTGTAGCTCATCTTGCTAAGATTAGCGAAGTTGCTAGAGTATGTTATACACCATTTTTATGAGCAAATATACATTGGTATATACAGATTTATTTTATATCAACTCCTTCCCCTGAAATCCCAGCAGTGTGCAATCTCATGGTTACAGCTGAAGTCAGCTTTTGTACAGCAGTGTGAACTGGCAGAAATTCTTGCTTTCAGTGCATTAAAAAAAAAAAAAAGTTGCATTTACAAAAGTGATGGAACACAGTGTGACCTTCAATTCTTGTTACTGTAATCCCTACTCCTACCTGTTTCAATGCCTTGATTCAGTCTTTGGTGTTTGGAGGTGGGAGTGATGAAATTCTTCTGCCTTACAACATCCTTTAAGAGAAGTTGGTATCGTGACTTAAAAGGGAATTGTCATTGAAATTGAAAGAGAGAAACCTTTTTTCTGGAACACTTGCTTGAGGTTTTGGGCACAGTACTCATCTTCACACATTAAAGAGCTGTTGGCGAATATATTCTTTCTCCTCTTGTTTGCTTAGGCTTCAGAGCTCTTCTTGGAGACTGTGCATGAGCAATGTGGCCTAGTTAGACCTTCTAATTCTATAAATTACACATGCGTGGTTATTAACTTGTTTTGAGATTCTGATTCCCAGTCAGAGTTTCCAAGTATGAAAAGAGATGCTTCAGCGCATTGTTAGTTAGAAACCAGCACTATCTACTGTGTTGTATAGCAGTAAAACAGAAAAAGAGTCTTTGTGGTTGTACTTTGTCTTTAAATATTATCAAACAGCCTCCTTTCAAACAAAACAAAAATAGAAAATGCTTGGTTTTGTTTTTGCAGGGTCTGACAGAAGTTGAGCTTCCTCTTTGGTGCTGGTTGCAGCCACTTGCCTGCAGAGATGTATTTCCTTAAATATTTACTGAATGCCACCAGAAGAGGGACACACAGCTCCAAGGGCTGATAGATGATGTGACCAAATGCTTACTCTAAAGCATGGCTTGCTGAGTGTGTTCATTATTCACTTAGTAACTTATTATTGATGTCAGTGATAGAATTTTTCTCATTTCACTTTTTTTTTTTACTGATAGACATTCAAAAGGACTTGTTCAATAAGCTCGATGTGTTTTTGTAGTTGTTTTAATATCCTTTTCCAGGAATGTTTTGAAATTACTTGTATTCAATAATTTTTCTCCTGACTTGCATATACCCACATGTGACATAATCTCTTTACCTGGCAACAGTAGTCCTGGACTTAAGTTTTCACAGAATCACAGTGGCCAGGGTTGGAAGGGACCTCAAGGATCATAAATTTCCAACCCCCCTGTGTTGGCGGAGCACAGCATACAATGAACTGGAGGATGTTGTCTGTCTTGCTAAAATGCATTAGTGTCAGTAACGGTGTCAGTGTTTTGTAATATAGCTTTATAATCTACAATGGGTACTTGACTCTCCCTTGTAAGTTGCTAGAAGACCTTTGTTTTGGTGTTCCATGTACTAAAGACATGCTGGCTTCAATACTGAGAAGTATTTTGGAATGTAAGTAGAATTTATTTTGGAGTCCTACGGTGCTTGCTAAATTGCTAATGGGATTGTATGTAGCCATTACAAATGAGCCAAGGACATAAAGTCGTGTCAACTGTAATTTCATAGAGAGGAAATGTTCTGCCAAGGAAATAAATAATTTGGGGAAACTCCCACTTTCAGAATATATGTTCTGGGGGAACTCCCTTTGCATCTGTCAGCAGCGGAACTGTGTGCAGGAATAGGACTTGGTCCATTGCATTTGGACTTCTCAGTTACATGATGATGATTATTTTATGCTAAATTGTGCTAGAAGCGCTTGCAAAGGATAACATTTAATGATCAAATCGAAGTCAGTACGTCATATTCTTTGTACTTGTGCCAAGTTTATTGGAGGGGAAAGAAACTAACAGCAATTTACAACTTCATTTTAAAATTCATATATTATTCCTCTTTAAGTGCATTTTAGATACTGAGACCGTGTGTGTGTGTGTGTAGCAATATACAGTTCTATATAGGTACATGTATATAGAAATATATGTCTGTGGTCTACTTACATTATATTATTATAAATTCTTCAGTTCTTCAGCAGAATGAGGAAATGATAGCAGAAGTTTTACGTTTAACTGTCACTTACCTGGCATTGAAAGTGGATTTCTGGAAATCCAGGCTTCACTTCTTCCCTTTGTTACTGATAATGATTGTTACTGTTGTTGTTCTGCAGGTCACCTGGCAGAAATAATTCTGATGCGTGGTTATTCTCATTTTCACAGGGCTGCCTTACCTAGCAGATGAAGTATTCAGGTGAGTAACTTAAACCAGCTCTTCTACAATACATAGTTGTAGAGTATACTGTTAACAAATTTATTCTCTCTCAATATACTGGATGTTTTCTCACTGTGATCTAGAATCTTGGCTTAAACTAGATTGATAGAATCACTAGAACAATAAAGCTTATAATAATCTACTCCTGATTCAAGCTTACTAGCCAGTAGAGCAGAATATAGTTGTCTTTCCTGTCTTGCTATACTACAGGCTATAACAAAAGAAATAATCTATGAACTCTTATGCCACTCTGAGTGGAACCTGTCCACCAGGATGGCTACTTGCTCTGGTGGAAGATAAGTGGTTTTTGTGCTTTTCTTTTATTCTCGTTATTGGCTTGTTAATTTTTCTGCCTCATCTCTTGCTCAGTCTGCTTTTATCTGCGGTCCATTCTTGCAGTTTCCTGTAAATTGGTCAGTAAGAGGAAGCTCTCTTGCTGCAGACAGCTCAAAACCTCAGCTGAACCAGTGCATTCATACCGGTGAGGTTAGTATAGCATGAGATACATCTTCTATAGCTCTTGCTTTCGGTAAACTTGGGGTAGGTGTGGTTACTTTTGACTGAGAGCAAGAGCAGTTATTAACATTGGCAGAGATGATTGACTGTCTTTCACAAGCAGTGGTCTTAATGGAGTGAAAAGCAAATGTAAAATTGCTTTTGATGTTTTGGTTCTTCCTAAGTGAGATCTCATAATGTCAGAGAGATGAAGCGGCTGCTTTTGGTTTAAGTTTTCCCTTGGTGCAAGGCCTCACTGATACTGTGGGGATGAATAAAGGTTAGTAGTCTGAAAACTATATGCCAACATTCCTTGCAAAATTGAATTTTGCATTGTGAAGGAGGACTTATTTATTCCGTTTTCGCTTCTGTGACAGACATGTTAATCAAACCCATTACAGTTTTGCATCTATTTGGGCTCTGTATTTGTAGTTTTGAAGCACAACCCTTCTGATTAATGTTTGGTCTACAAAGCTAAGCTGAATTTTCATTCTGCTATATGAATGGTCATCTGTGAAACACACAGATGCTCTTTGGTGGTTTTGGTGTGTATTTGTTCCTCGCTAGAACACCAGCTTGTGCCTGTGCACATGTGTGTTCATTCTCTATGACCATCTGGACAGTGTTAGAAATCACCAGAAAAATTGAAAGGGGATCTTGGAACTTGAAATGAAAAACTCTGTATTTGTGAGTGCTTATATGAAGAGGGCATCATCAGAAAGATTAGAATGGAAAAAGTAGTACTTCAGGAACATACTGAATGTATGAAATATTAATTAAAAATGAGACTGCGGAGCCCAAAGAGCACTGTGTTACGTCTGTGAACTTTGGAGGGATAAAACCAATGTTAAAGTGTATCAGACTGATGTTTGGAATGGATATTCTGCTGTGTTACATCTACTCAAGCACTGTCTCTTTTGATCATAGGTTTTTTTTAATGAGGTAGAGATAAAGGCTGAAGGATAGTAATGCAAGCTTAAAAGAGTATGCTGGATAGCAGAGAACAATCATAACACAGCAGAAAACAGGGAGAGGAAGGACTGCTTTAAAACACTCTGTTAATTCTTAGTATCAGTTCCCAATTTCAACTTTATGATGCATGGGGCAAATTAATTTAATGGAATCATAGAATCATCAAGGTTGGAAAAGACTTCCAAGATCATCCAGTCCAACTGTCCACCTACCACTAATATTTCCCCACTAAACCATGACCCTCAGTACAACATCTAAATGTTTTCTGAACACCTCTAGACACTCAATAAGATCCCTGGGCAGCCTGTTCCACCACTTCCTCAGAGAAGAAACTTCTACTAATGTCCAAGCTGAACACTCCTGTCACAACATGAGGTTGTTTCCTTTGGTCCTGTTGCTCATTACGCAGGAGAAGAGCCAACTCTCACCTCACCACAGCCTCTCTTCAGGGAGTTGTAGAGAGTAGTAAGGTCTCCCCTGAGCCTCCACTTCTCCAGACTGAACAATCCCAGCTCTCTCAGCCATTCCCCATAAGACTTGTGCTCCAGATCTCACAAAGTTTTGTTGCCCTTCTCTGGATACGCTCCAGAGCCTCAATGGCTTTCTTGTAGTGAGGGGCACAAAACTGAATGCAGCATTTGAGGTGCAGCCTCACCAGGGCTGAGTACAGAGGGATGATCATCTCCCTGTTCCTGCTGGCAGCACTATTTCTGATACACGCCAGGATACTCTTGGCCTTCTTGGCCACCTGGGCACACTGCTGGCTCACGTTCAGCTGAGTGTCAACCAACATCCCCAGGTCTGTTCATTCCACACAGACTATTTCTTCCAACTTGGTATTACTTGCAAACTTACTGAGGGTGCACTCAATCCTTTTGTCCAGGTCATCAATAAAGATATTAAACTGGACAGGCTCCAATACCAACCCTGGGGGAGTACCACTTGTGACTGATCACCAGCTGGATTTAACTCCATTCACCACCACTCTCTGGGCTCAGCCCTCCAGCCAGTTCTTTACCCAGCAAAGAGTGTACCTGCCCAAGCCACAGGCTGCCATCATTGACGAACTGCTGAATTGCTAATTCACAAACTGCTGAAATGTAGCATTCTTTGCAACTTTTGTTGAAAGATTTGTTAATTATACCACTGAGTCAGTTGACTATTGGTTCTTATTAAATAGCATCATAACATTGTCTTAATATGCTGCTCTTTACTGCACACAGTAAGTGTGCGGTGCTTACTCTCTGCTTGCCCTTCCTGTGCTGCCTGGAAGGAGCTATTCTGGAAGTAAGCTTTGCTCAGTGTGCTGGGTTATGTAAGTCTTGTCGATCATTCTGCAATATGTGAGTTGCTTTTGGACTTTCTGGCAAAGTGTGTGATGGCTGATTCCAGACCAGTGAATGATCTGAATGCTTTTAAGAGCTCCAAATGAAAATAATAATGTGTAAAACAATGGCATTTGTCTTTTACCATCAGCTGGTGATGCTTGTCCTGTAGTGTTGTTGTCCTTATGTTGTAAACCCATGGATAAGAATTTCATTGCCTTGTGGTTTGTGTGGTGACGAATGTACAGATGGAGCTTGCTCTGAAGCATGTATATTCTGCACAATCCTTCAGAACAACTGTTTCAAAGTTAGTGGGTTGAGGATGGAAGGACAAACTCCAGCCATAGGGGAGAAAAGGGAGATGAAGGACTTAGCATAGTTCTGTGATGCAAGGCAAGGACCTGAAGCACGGCGGCATGTCTGAGCCATGCCTCTACTGGTGCTGCCTGAACACACTGTAAGGGAGAAGGGCTGCCTTCTTTTTCTTCCACGGGAAAGCAGTTGATGGGAAGGTGAAGAAGGGGCACGCAAGCACTGGAAAATCCCCCGCTGCGTGTCTTGCAGTCTCACAGAGGCTTGAGGTAACGCACGGCTTGATTTACAGCCTCTGTGGGATATTGGGAAATCTGACAAAGACAGTGCTGCCCACTGATTCTGGGGGGAAACAGGAAGTAACAAAGGAAACAAGTCACTGCCTAGGCGTCCCTTTTGGCCACGCTGCAGTGCAGATGTACAAGCAGTGCTCCTCCTTTGTGTGTACTGTAGTTATCGCTGCCGCTCCCAGCCTTTTTATACACAAAAAGGAGAGGAGCACAGCGATGTTCCTGCCATGCCTGAGAGGGGCTATCAGCTGCTAATGGCTTTGTCCTCGCAAAGGAAACTATCATACGGTGAAAGTATCAGCAGGAAAAGTATGTGTCGATCAGGCATGGTGACAAGGTGAGTGCGTGCTTCTGGCTTGTATTTCTTCTTGTATTTCTGTCATCTTTCCTCTTATAGGTAGAGAGCAGACTAAAACTAAGAGAAGAGAACTGATGGAGGAAAAATGCTTTTAACTTCTGCATCTTATGCAGAAAATGGTTAAGAATTAGAGGGGGAAAAATGAGGACAGTGTTGGTTGGAAATGCTCACCTGATAAGAAAAGCAAGTTGAAGCAAGCTGAATGGAGTGAACTTGTTTATAACATGCACCTCTGTCAGGCTTAGTTCTCTGTTCCCTTTGTCCTTAAGATTTATTTCTTCTCACTGTTTGTGCTACACTTAATTCTTCTGAGAAACTATTGTGAAAGGGGCTGTTGGGAGCACTAAGAAATGTGATGTGTAACTCAGAAAAGTGGGAGAAACATGAAAGAGTATTTCATGAATGTAGGGAATATTTATTAAATAATGGAAATGAGACCTGAAATTTTTGTAGAAAGCAGGTTTACGGATGATAAATATATACTGGAGAACTCTCATTTTTGCTCAGAATTGCAGAGAGCGCATTAGGAAAACTTTTATTAAACTTCTCTGTATATGCAGTGCTGCCTTAGTTTTGGTTCAGCCTTTTGTGAATACTGAAGTTTCAGTCATCTGTGTTAAAGAAATGAATGCATTCCTGGTATAAGTTACACGCATATTTAGAAGGAAATCCACATCCTGCTCTGCTAGGTTTTACTTTCAAAACAGTATTTAAAGATTAGATGTTATGAGATATCATGGAATTAAAATTTCTCTTGGACATAATTTGCTTGGAGACACGTGTGACAAATCCAGAACAGGTTTAATTTTTACTGCAATTCAGGAGGCTTGTGTTTTTGTTTTCAGCACGACCAAAGGGCCTCCAGTACTGACCATAAATATTATTATAACAAGTGAAAACTTTTAAGACAACTTTTGGCAGCTGTAGCTTCAGCAGTGAGGTTAATGTTATACATTGCAAGGCGTGGGGATGATCACATCTGCCATGTGTTCTGCTGAGGTTCAGCAAGGAACAAGGACTCATGGCTCTTCTAGGATGCAGCCTTTATTTGAATCAGCCTGTATCAATTTAATTGAGCTGACTGCCAATAGCTCATAAGGCCAAAAGGGGTAAGTGTTCCTTCATAATACATCTGGAACAGATTATGTGGCTGAAGGAGTTCATTCTGATGCTTTTTGAGAAAGGTGTACTCATGGGATAGGCTTGGACTGACTTTACTGATAGTTCCAGAGTACGCTGCAGGCTGGCTTGGTCTGCCAAACAAAGTCTGGGAGACTGGTTTGCACGTATGAATTAATCACAGTATTGACTGTATCATGCTCAGTAGTGTTAGCTGCGCTGCTCTGTCTTTCGGAAAACTGTTGAGTGATGAAGCAAGTCCTATAACTGCTGTTCCAGTGTTTCCCACTATGTTTTAAAGTCTGTTGTCTCCCACAGAGGCATAAAATTGCCACGGGGGTCATCTGAGAAAGGAAGTGGTGCAAGGCTTTGTGTTGCTGCCATCCTCTGCTGGCTCAGCTGGTTCATTTCAACAGTGTTTCAGGGAAGAGAAGGCTGGTTTAAGGGGCGCTTGTGCTGCGTGTGGGACTGGATGGAGAAAATTTTAAAATATGTACCTAGTCCCTTGATGACAAGAACGGGAGGAATAAAGAACGGGAGGAATAAAGTATGTGGCTTTTACTAGAACATTGCACAAAAGAATTGGCATAGGTATTTTAGCATGTGTCTTGTAACAGAGGGCTGCCATCAGACAGGGAGAGTAGCCTGGCCCCAATGGCTTTTAGTGCAAGAGGCTTTGCTTATGCACCTGGGATGAAAATATGTAAGGGGGTCATTGGCTTGTAGAGCAAGAATATAACGGCATAAAAAAAGGCATCTGGGAAATACCTTTTTGTTCTTAATGATCACAGTGCTAATAGGCTCTACAGTGACTTTGATACTTGCTATTGACCATCCTTGGTAATGGAGCATTGATCTGTTCCTCATGTAATAGATTTTAAAAAAAAATAATAAAAAAAAAAATAAAAAAGAAACTTTTAGGAGGAATATCAGGAGTGGAAAGATCTAGTTTGGGGAGCTAAAGACAACTATATTATAGATGCTAACACCAGGAAAATCTTCAAGAGCATCAATTCTTCTTTCATCCCACCCCTAGAATAAAGATCCCGTGGATATTTTGTTTTGACAGCTTTCTCCCAGCAGCAGGATGCAAAATAGCATTTAGTGTTCTTCTAGGATTGTTTTGTACTCTCAAAAGAATAAAAAATCTGCTTGGGAATAGATTCAAAGTACTGATTTAAGAGAGTTATTTCAAATGATTTAATCCGGAATACCAAAGTCCTCCCTGTGTGTCAGTAACTTCAGCCCCAGCCTACATATGAGAATGGGAAGTGGGAAAGGTTACAGTGAGATCCAGAAAATATGCATAGTCAAGCTGATTGCAGAGTTCTGTGTGTTAGGTGAAATATGTACTTGCCTGCGGGGAGTTCTGCCACACCTCCTTTATTCACGCAGGTGGAGGGGAAGTTTGAGGGTTTGGTCTGCATTTTCAGAGCTGTTTTATTGTAAATCTGCAGAGATAAGAAATGATTGTTAAGAAGAGGAAGCAGAACCTGATACTTTGTTGTCCTTCCTTTTGGTTAAATCCTGCACTGTCTGCACTGTAGAACTGGATTCTTTACCTGCTTGTTTCTCTGCTTCCATGTAATAATTTTTTTGTTGTCTTCCTGCTATTCTGCCTTTCCAGCAGCAATCCATGTAGAAGGCTGCCATGACCTAGTCAAACATTTGTGTTTCTGTATTTACCTAGGGAGGGATACCCTTGTCCCCAGTGTTTGCCTTTCTAGAATCTCAGCTTGTGGTTGTTTTGGATAACCTCCCTGAGGTACTTAACTCTCCCTTTTCTGAAATGTTTTCAATCTAAGTACAATAACACTGAGATTATTGCTTAATACCAGAGGGGAAGTGCTGAAGTCCTTTCTTCTGCTCTTTGCTATTTGAAAACAGACCCTTGATGATCTTCAAACCGTTGGATGGCATTGAGACTAATGCTAGAGTTAGATGGAGGAATCTGAGATCAGAGTATATCTGGCTGAATAAAAAGTTTGCTTTTGTTTCATCTCTTCTTCTGAATATAATTAGAAACAGACTGAAATCACTTCATCGTGAATTAGTTTCAAATGTTTGAATGTTGATGTACTAGCTCTTAAATTTAGAAATTTGCCCAAGACAAGCCTTTGTGTTCCTCATTTCAAGGAAATGGCTCTTAGTACTGCAGTGTAGCTTGGCGTTAGCAGCCAGCTGATTAATGCCCTATTGCCCTTTGACTTTTCTGCAAGATGTAGAGAAATTGAAGGATTCCTTTTTTTTTAGACTTAAATTCCTTTATTTAGACTTAATACTTTCCACTATTTTAGTAATTCTTAAATATTATAAATCAACTTCTTGGACCTATTAATACACCACTATTGCTAGAAATTTCATTGCAGGGCGGAGGAGGAAGGCCCAACTCAGCTTGGAAAAATCTCAATTATGTGATAAGAACAAGAATGGATTAGAGCAGAAAGGATATAGCAGCAAAAGTAACAGCTTTTGGTGAGTAGGAAGGTACTGGAAGAGAGCTAGGCAGCTGTGGCCTTTCTAGAGCCTTACATCCTATCTGCTCCCTTTGAACCTGTTCTGTTACATGGTGGGACTAAAAGCCTGTGCAATTTTTCAGGCTGCCTGAAGAATTTCCCCTGCTAGAAACTGCTAGTGATACGTCGTCAGCAAAGGCTGAGCAGGTAGAACTCGGTGCTAGGCAGGTCTGCTGAAACGTATCCTTAGGTCTCCCTTTGCTCCTAACACACGCAGTGGGGATGAGATGCACTTCACTGTTGGCTCTGAGAGTATTGAGCTGTGCTATTGATTTCTGTTCCTGTCCCTTTCAAGAGAAGCAAACACAGGATCCATTAGATTTCAATATTGTACTACACTTTTTTTCCCCCCCATTCTAAACAGTTATTGTTTTTTTCAGAAGTGAATTAACGGGTTTTATTCACAAAGGAGCTTTAGAGTTTACCTCTTACTAGCAGAGGCCTTGAGCCCTACACCTGACTGTTTTGTGTCTGGGTCAGACTTACTGTTTGGTTCATCTATGGATGGTTTTTTTTAATTGTTTTGTATTCTTTGAATGTTTTACACAATTCAGTTTTTAGCCCAATTCCGTTGCCAGTTGAAGGAAGAAGAGTCTCACAGTGATACATCAGGCAGGAAAAAACTGCTGCTTAAAAGAATAATTCTCCTGGTAACCTGTATAAGGTGGTGGCAGAAACAGTGGGAACTGCAAAGGCACTTGGTGGAGCGTGGCATTAATAACTGATGTATGAATGGAAGGCATCCTGCAGCAATCTGAGATGGATTTGATTTGCATTGTCACGTATGGCGTTCAGTGTAGGATTATACACTGATGCTATTAGTTAGAATAAAACATACAAATGTGGGAAGCATATTATTAATAACTGTGTATGGTTACTAAAATCTGACCACTGATGCCCTCGCTGTACAGAAAGTTATATTCAGTGCCCATGTGTGGTATGGAGCTTTAGAGAAGAAACTGATTTTCTTTCTAGTCTACATGTTATCATCTGATGCAGTATTAAGATATAAATAGCAAAATAACATTTATTAAGCACTCTTCTACTGCTTTGACCACTGTCAGTCAGTTTTGAGAACTGAATAAAAATAAATTGGGGCTTTCTGTGCTGTGTTTTTTATACCTCACAAACTTCCTGGAACCTATGAGCACGCGTCTGTCCTGCATACTTGACTGCTGAACCATGTTAGTTGTTTGGAAAACTTGGTTAAGGAAACAAGCTTTGTTTCTCAGTCTTCATTTCCTGAAGTAAAATCTAACTTTGAAACTGCTCTTAATTATTCTAAACTGCAGGAAAATGGCCTCAGAGGAACAGGTCTGGCCAGTCCCAATGAAGGCAATTGGAGCACAAAACCTTTTGACGATGCCTGGAGGGGTGACGAAATCGGGATATCTTCACAAAAAGGGAGGCACTCAGTTGCAGATCTTGAAGTGTAAGTTCAGTGGTTTTAATTTTTGCCTTTGGAGCCATAAACATGTCTCCTATTAATGAGCTCTTTAATAAAGCCAGTCTTCCTCTTACTTTTTCTGCATTGTAATACAATTTTACAGGAATATATGTATTAAAGACTCACATTGAAAGAATTTGCTTTAACTGTTTTGAAACTGTAAGTCTTAGATGACAAATGTTAGGACTGATTTTCTTGTATTTAGTTAAATCTTTTGTCAAGGCCTTAAGAAGTAAGACTTTAAGGCAGAAACAGATGGCAGAAACAATTTTGAATATTCTTTTATAAAATAAATTAGTGCTTAGCTTTTTCTACAGTTAGTTTTTTAGTACTGGAAAAATATCCCCATCTCCTGCTGCTGTTGTGAAATGCAAATTTTCTCACTGCTGAGATTAGATGCTTAGTAATAGTAATTACTTCTGGAATCAGAATCCGTTTAATAGGATAAAATATAAGACTTTGAGTTTAATTTGTATTCTAGTCATTTCCTATGCCTGTTTACAACTAAACTGTGTTTATACAACTAAGATTACCATCTTTGATAAAGGTGGTGGGAGAGTTGGCACTTAGCTTTAAGAGAAAAATAGAAGGACTTTATTGCCAGCTTTATGCATGTACTACTGCCACCTTTAAGAGGAAAGGAGATACGTTCACCCCAAATCACAATACGTTGAACTAAATAGCTATTTGTAGCCCACGTTTACATTCCTCTCTTGTTTCAGGCTGCACTCTTAGGTTAGCTTGTTCTCCCAGACAAGGAGCACAGGTGGAGGTCAGGCTTGCACTCTCTGGGTTTTCTTTTGGAGAGCTTCATGTGACTGGTCAGCAGCCAGCTGCCACTCTGCTGCTTTGTGCCCTTCTGTAGGGATTAATGAAATTCACTTGGGCATCCTAACTTGGGTACAGCTATTGAGGACTGCACTGCCTTTGGGTTTATATCTTACTTGCTTTTTTCTTTATCAGGGCCACTGAGATTTGTGATTATCCATGAGGGATGCATTTATTACTTTAAGACCAGCACATCTGCATCTCCACAGGGTGCATTTTCTTTGAATGGTTACAACAGGTGAGTGCCAAAACTTAACACCTTAGGCCCTTGTACTTAATTGGGGTAGGAACCGCCTTTCATTTTGAGTAATTAATTCAGCTATGTTTGTTGTTTTGGTCAGGCACTGGTCTCACATTGCAAGAGAAAATTCCTTTCAAATTGTATATATGTTTCCAGTACTGTGCAAGTGTATACCCTTCATCTTTTGTAATCCTCTAGTAAAGCTTTTAAAATTGCACAGGACTTATCACTGCAGTGTGTTGGTCCTTGTTCCTTATTTAATGTGGACTTTGCACACGTAGTTATGGATTCCTCCAGACGTTGGAATTGAAGCAGAATATTTAAAATTCCTGATTCGGTAACACTAATTGGTGTCAAAATGGAATCAACTACAGGAGTAATAAAATGAGAGAATACATGTGCAAAATGTCTGACTCTTTCCACTATACGTTCTAAATTTTAACATTTGCTTTTTAAGTTGAAGACAAAAATAAATGGCTTTCAAGATAACCAGAATCTCACTGAGTGCACATGTAGAGGGCCTACCAATTGCACTCAGTATTAACCTCAGGAAATTGCTGTTGCATATGATGCTAAGAAAAGACAAGTAAGATACAGAATGTAGAGAAACAAACCATTGTTGGCCATAACTTCTGCAGTTTTATTGTGTTCATAAATGTGCTTGTTGTCTCTGCACTGCTTAATGCTCTTAGACCTTTAGGATAAGGAAATCTCTCTCATTGTAGTGGGGAGGCTTTTTAACTTACCACCACAACAGCGTATTTGCTGGGAACACTGCTGTAATGTGACCATGATACCAGCTTCTGTAATCGTGATATTATGAAAAATGCTGTGGATTTTGTAATTGCTAGAAACTCTCATTGCTTTTTACACATGTCTGTATCTGCAGCCACCTTGATTGTAGAATTGGGACCAGCTCATAGTGTTATGCACAGACGTAAGCATTGTTGAAAAAAAGCTTGAAGTGAAAGAAATTTTCATTTGTTAGATTGGGCAGTTTCATAAGAGTGCATGAAAGCAAGTTACTCTAAGGGTTCCTTGGACTTCTATTTTTCAGATTTCATTCAATAGCGTGGACAGCACGTGAGACAGTGCTGAATGTTCTGGTGGCTCAGAATGTGGGAAACATTGCCATCCCTCCCAGACATATGATGGTTATTTTCCATAGTAACATCTCTACTGGTCTTAAATTAGTGAATGAAGCAACTTACAGTTCCTTTTGTGGCTTAGTTTCAGGCCAGATTAAAAACAAAACAAAACAACACCATCACTTACAATTTAAAAATTAGATTTGGATTCTAAAAAGATACCATCTGTTTCTTTGCGCTTTGCATTGCTCTTAGTGCCAACTGTGAGGTGTTGATTTACAGCTTTTAATTATAATTTTTATTTTTGTTTTTCCCAAAGTCATGTTCATTTTGATTTGGTACTAACCAAAAGTCAAAAAAACCTTATTTGTAGGTTTACAAGCTATCTTCCATAAATAGGATGTACAGAAATACCATATTCTATGAGGAAATTAGCAAGGTCAAAAGTGTAGGAACAAGAAGAAAGAGAGCCTCAAAAACTTTCATATTTCTCTATAGCTTGTTTTGAGTAGATCCTACTGATGTTACTTCTGGATTGCACACAGTCTTATGATTTTAGTCTCCTTATTCTTTCAAAACCTTATGGTGTGCATTTCTGAAGAGGATTCTTTTGTGCCTCTGTGAGGACAGAGCAGTGTTTTCTCACTTTAGAATCCCATGTGGAAAAAAATGAAAGGCAGGAAACTTTTCTAATTTGGTTTGTGGAACAGGTTGAATGAAACTTTTTCAAAAAAAAAAGTATATTAAAAAGTTTATTAAAGCTTTTTATTGAAGAGGTCAAAACATCATCTACGTCTGGTGATGCCTTTTCTCCTGTCAGCACTCTTGCATTATCTGTGCTATTGCTTCAATGAAGAACTACAGTTGCACACATTAGTGTTTTGGTGAGGTGTTGTTGCTGATCTTGGGGATTATTTTCAGCAATGTGGAGCAAGCTGGTAAAAATGCTTTCTGAGCTGTGACTTGCACGGCAGAATTAACTTTACAGATGAAGGGATTTCTGTATATTGGTTCTTCTGTTTCCCAGGGTTATGCGGGCAGCTGAAGAGACGACATCAAGCAATGTGTTTCCTTTCAAGTTAGTTCACATTAGCAAAAAGCACAGGACGTGGTTTTTTTCTGCTTCTTCTGAAGATGAAAGAAAGGTATGTTCTGCTTCAAGGGAAATCATAGTGCAGATGAAGAAAGTGGATTTGGGGCTTCCCTAAAATCTATGTGAACTGGGCACACAGTTGTAACCAAAGTCTGTCCATCTGGTTCTTTGGACTCCTGAAAATAACGCCTGAAGTTTTAACTATTTGTGCAAATTATAATTTGTTGTAGTGTAGGAATGGCTAAAAGTGGCATAGTCGATGTTACAGTTGTCTTCATATTCCTGGTTTTTAGCCATGGAATTAATATTTGTATGGTAAACTTCTGATTAAGTATGAAATCTTCAGTGAAATCTCCTACCCATACGCAGACTGTGAGCAGATACGTGGCTTTCGGAGTAACAGCTGGAAATTCACAAATCAAAAGTTGAATATTTTGATACATTCTTGTAGGATTTTCAATAGTCAAAATATTTTGACTACTAAATCCTTTCAATACTTATATAAAGGTGTGGATAAATGATATTTCACTTGCACAGTCTCTCTCACTTTCTCTCTGCTTGCAGGAGAAAGATACTGTGCATCTTTGTATAATGATTTAAAGCTGAATGTATTGAATGCTGTGGATTTATTTATTTAGAATTGGATGCTGTCCCTGAGGAGGGAAATCGATCACTACCATGATAAGAAAGAAACAGTAACGGAATTCAGGTATGAAACTTTAATCTTTGCCTTTTCCCTCTCTTCTTTTTAGCTCTCAGTAGTGTTGTTCTTGGCTCTTTGCACCTACAAGTTATTTACTGCTAAGTATTAACAGCTGCAGTAGGCTCCAAGAATAAAGGGCCTACCTGATAGATAGATTAAAGAGTAGCAGGACAAATAAATCATTTTACTAAGAGAAATTAAAATGTTGGTTTTGTATAAAACCAATAAAAATATAAATGGCAGCAACCGATTTAGCTATTGATAGAGGAATAGATTGCTTCTGCTTTTCCAGTATTACTTTCCAGTGCTGCAGTCTTGCTAGTCTTTATTTTTCCAAGACCTCTAACATAGTGATGCAAAAGAGACTCTGCCTTTTCTTTTGCAGTGACTCTGGTTCTGATGCAGACAGTTTCTATGGTTCAGTTGAACGTCCCATTGATATCAAGTATTCTCATCATTCAGCAGATAATGAAGGTGACAATTTTTAGACATTGATAAATGTTTTTTTTTTAATCTTGTTTTCCTTCTGGATTCTGCAGGAACTATTCCAGTAGCTGATCTAGTTTGCAACTGAGACCTAAAAATTATTATTTTCATGAGGTGCATAGAATTGTTGTAATTTGAAATCAGAAACAGTCTGTGTTGTAAAACCATTACTAAAAAATAAGTGGTAACTAAAGGAATTCAGCCTTGGCCAGGAGGTGTCTGACACCTAATACAATCTTAATATCACCCCTAGTAATACAACCTTAAATTTTTAACTTACACTTTCATTAAGACTGCATGTTGGGAAGCTGTAGATCTAGCAGGAAGATAAAATATTTGAGTGTGTCCATAGGTCATAGTCTGGCAGTGCACTGTTATGGTTCAGTCTGGTTTCTGTGACAAGGGGGCAAAGGGATGCACAGATCCATGCCCTGGGGAGAGAAGGGTGTTGGGGGAGGTACATCCTGAAAGCGTGTTCTGACAACGTGGTGAAACACTGTGGAGATAGCTGCCTCTTATCTGGGCTGTAAAAACAATTCATCTGTCCCAAGAGTTAGCAGTAATTCACTCTGGGATGTTGTTGCATCTGTGCTGTAGTCTGCTTAGTGCAAACCAGAACTTCTCCCAGTTCAGGAAGATTTCGCATTAGACATTTGAATGGCCTAGCTGGGACACGTCGGATAACATCCTTCAATGACTTTCAAACTGAGTAATTTTTTAAAGTAAGGCTTGAAGTGTGTCATTCTTAGCATTCTTTTTTTAATTCAGTTTGATAACTTGCTGTAACTTTCTGTGTATGTTTATTTTTTAGATAGAAATGGGGATTTTACAGAAAGTTTGTCAGATTGAGGTTCACAGCATATTTCAGCAACTAACTTCTTAGTCAAGAAACTCAGTACAGTCCAAATGAGGAGACCTGCTTTGTGATCCTGCAGAATTCCTTTAGTAGGCATTTTCTGCCCTTTCAGATTTCTCAGGGTAGAGTTGATTGGAGCAAGTACTCTGATTTCCTGAAAGGAAATTCCTGACCGTTTTTCCTGACTAGGACAAAAAAAAAAATGGGAGTTTGACTGTGTAGGAAATCCGGTTGGATTGTTGCAAAGCAGAGGAAAACACTCATCAGCATTTTGTATAGGGTTGCGGTTTAGAACATCAGTGTTTATGGGAGGGAAGGGTTGTATACAATATGAATTATGTTTGGTGAGGCCTAGAAGCCTAAGTAAGGATAATTATTATAACAGTTAACTGATTTTTATCAGCTTAACCTTAGCCTTTTCCCCAGCCCCCACTGAACATCTTTCTCTAAGGAAATACCGTGTATTGTTCTTAAGGCTCACATCACAGACATGATGAGAAATTACTGCCTGGAGGCAGCGTGCTTTTCATGTCTTGATTATTTTGACTTAGAGACAACATTTAAGTCATTTGTTGTGGTGTATCTTGTTACCAGAGCAAGGCAAAAGATATCATTGTTTTGCAGATGATGAGGCTTTATTAGGCACCCATACTGCAAAGTCATAAAAGTTGCTATGGTAGGGTTGCTTTTGAGTTGCTGAGTTTCTGTTTTTCCAACTTGTTGAGCAAGTATATCAGTTTGTAGTTGTGCCTCTGTAACTGATCTGAATTTTTCTGAGGAAGGCGATGCCACTACAAAGTGTCACACCAGAGGTACATTTTAATTTCAAAGACAGAGAAAAACAAGTGTGTTATGTTCTTCATTCACTGTTGTAAGCAATGGCTTTCTTGATTGATGTCAAAATTAAAGAAATCATATGCTATAAATAGCAGAGAGGTGGTTGTCTGAGTCTGACACGTGGATTTTTACTTGCAGATTATGACCAGGAGGAAGATGATGAGTCTTACTTGCAACCAGATACATCTGACATAGTGAAAGATGGTATGTGATTGCCTTTATTCCCTTCAGAAAATGCTTACATTTGTGTAAGATGCCAGATTGCTGTTTTTGCTTAGTCATACCTAAAGCACTGCAGGTGGAAAAATAACTGACGAAAGATAGGTATCAATTCTTGAGGAGTATTTAGGGTGAAAAGAACCTAGTAACAGCAGTAACAAACAGTATCTGGCAAGTCTGCTACCCTGAAGGACCTCTGTGTAGTACTCCAGTCTGGAGGAGGGGGTAATACTTTTTAAATAGTCTTTTTTCCTTTATTTCCTGCAAAGGAAAAATCCTTTGCTAAGTTGACATAACCCGTGCCTGACTAAAAATTGCAGGAGGTCAGTACGTGTAGTGTGCAGAGTTGTGCTGAAAGTTGAATGTTTACCCAGCATTTCAGGAACTATCAGACCAGATGCTATTAAATATATCTTTAAACCACAAAAAATAAAAGTCTAGTTTCTTGACATGTTTTCTTTCTCTACAGTGTGCTATATTTGTTGGGTATTTTCTTTGTGCAGATATCATGGTCCTGCCCCCAGCCTACCCACCTCCACCGGTCCCTCATGTCAGAAAAGCTGCCTACTCAGAGTCAAGGTCACATTCTTTTAGTGGAAAAACTGCTGGTTCAGCAGCACCACCACCACCTCCAAAAAGGAGCTTACCTGAGATCAAGACAGAGGATTTCTTCAGTGTGAGAGAGCCCCAGTTACCGTGCCGAGCTGAACCTAACCTAAAGATTCAGTCCTCCAGCCGGAGACCAAGTGAGCAGCTGCCTCCTGTGCCCCCTTTACCTCTTTTCAAAAAGCCTTTTTGTATCAAAGAACCTTCCTCACTGCCTCCGGAATCACTGCCTCTATCTCACGTTCTCAATACTTCAGAAGGATGCGAGAAGCTAAAAACCTTAAACCTTTCGCCACGAACTCCTCCTCCGCTGCCAAGCAATAAACCCAAGTTGTCCCAGATAACAGAAAAACCAGTAGAAACCAAAGTGCCAAGAGAACATGGTAAACCAGGACTGTTTGTGCCACCAGTGCTTCCGAAGCCACCTGTGCCAGGCCACCAGCATCCTGTGCTTAAACCTAGACCAGAGAAGCCTTCATGTCCCCAGTTACAGTAAGTGTGAAAATACATCCCAGTATCAAATTTTCCATGGAGTTTTTGTTAATCAGCTCACAGACATCATTTGTCAGATTCACGTTAATGTCTGCTAGTCTTTTCCGCACCATTCCTCTCATTCTTTTTTGCCTGAGTATTTGTTATTTGGAGATTTCATAATGAATTTTACTTTTGAAATAATTCAGAAATAAATCTGAAAAAAAAGAAGAAAAAGATCACTTGGGGAAAAAAAAACAACAAATCACTTTTTTTTTTTGTAGTTTGTTTTGGTGGGTGTCTGAAAGACTTAATAGCCTTTAATCATAATGAATAAGTCAGAAAGTCAGTGAACCACAAAAAAATAGTTTTAGGTCACTGTGGACACAGGAAATACTTATGTTAAGATCAGCTTTAGTGAGGGATGTGCAACTAGCTATGATGTTTAGGCTGTTGAAATTACTTTTGTCAGATCCTTCAATTTCTTAGAAAGAATGAACAACAATTTAAATGCAGTACAAGAAAGAGAGATGGATTTATGGGAGTGAGTCCATCCACCGAAATGTTTGGGCACGTGATACATAAGTAGAGGCTGAGAGAATTGGGTTAGTTCAAACTTTAGGAAAGCTAATAGGAGATGTCACTCCTGTTTACAACTACTCAGTGGCAAAGCAGGGAGAATACAAAACAAAAGATCTGCAGTGACATGGCAAGAGGCAACAGACAGAAGTCATGACCTTAGAAATTATGGTTAGATATAAGTTATATTATAATTTCACCTTGTGGATGGTCAACTCAAAAAGGCTGCGGAATCTCCATTCTTGGGGATACTCAACCAGACACAGCTGCCTGAGCTATTTGGACCTGCTTTGTGCAGGAGCTTGGTCCAAATCATCTACAGATGTCCCTTTCAACCTACATTATTCTGTGATTCTAGAGCTGATAAGTCCTAAACTGAAACTTTATCTCAAGTTCTAGTTTTATTATCTTTTCAGTGGTTGGTATATTTGTTTTGTTTTCAGTGAAGATGTCCTTCAGTTTTTGTTCTGTTTCTGCCAGGAGATCACCACCAGATGGGCAGAGTTTTAGAAGCTTCTCATTTGAAAAACCAGCACTGCCCTCCAAGCCAAATCAAGTGAAAGATGATTCTGATGACGACTATGAAAAAGTAAGAACAAACAGATGATATATTCTTAAAAGACCATTTTTCCTGCTTTCTCTGTGGGAGAACTTTGGGACATGTTTCAGGGGGAAAAAAGGAAAAAGAATCTTCTGAAAATGCAGTGCTGTGTGATTTGTAGATTTAAGAAATGCCTTTATAAATTCTGGATTGTAGTCATTGATATACACGAGGAAGAAACATAGGATTAAAACACTACTAACAAGTTCAGATATCAACAGCTGTAGCTTGTTTGGATAACATGTTAGTATTTTGAGTTTTCATTGTCCTTCGTGGTCACTTAATTTCTTTGTATTTTCCTACAGGTTGAACTGCCTACTTCAATATTTATTAATACCTCTGAATCCTTAGAAGTTGAAAGGTAGATGTGGCTTTTAAAAAGTTGCTTAAAATCCTACAAATATATGTATTGAACAGTAGTTTAAAAATCATTTTGAGATACATAATTTGTGTTTAAAAACATGGGAAGATATTTAAATCACTTTAATGTGGAAATGGCTTTCCAGCAGAGATAGTTAAGTGCTCATGTATCAGCTGAGAAAACAGAGTGCTTATAAAATGATTTTACCCCCTCTGGAAATAATTGTTCTGCCAGGATGCTAAGGGGACAGAAAGCCAGATCTTCTGTGACATGTTGCTGATTGCTAGAACAGTAAAATTCTGTCCAATATGATGTAATATAAATTATTACAACTGGGACAAATTTTTAATAAGAATTGCCAGCAGTTTGCCCTTTTGGCTAAAAAGGGTAATGTTATCCTGGGGTGTATTAAAAAGTGTGGCCAGCAGGTCAAGGGAGGTGCTCATCTCCTACTCCACCCTGGTGAGACCATATCTGGAGTGCTGTACCCAGTTCTGGGCTCCCCAGTTCAAGAAAGACAGGGAACTTCTAGAGAGTCTGATGGAATGCTTCAGAGATTGTAAGGGGCCTGGAGCCTTCTCCCTTATAAGGAAAAGCTGAGATACCTGTGTCTGAGGAGATTCAATTTGGATATTAGGAAAAATTTATTCTCAGAAAGAGTGGTAGTGCATTGACACAGGCTGCCCAGGGAAGCAGTGGAATCGCCATCCCTGGAGGTTTTCAAGAAAAGGGTGGATGTGGCATGTGGCTTAGAGGGCATGGTGGTGACTGGTTGGTGGTTGGACTTGGATGGTCTTAGAAGTCTTTTCCATCCTCAGTGATTCTGTGATTCTACAATTAGCAAGGACTATCAATATCTAAGGGGCAGAAGTGGATGGAGCAAGGCTCTTTTCAGTGGTGCCCAGCAACAGAACAAGGGACAATGGGCACAAACTGGAACACAGAAAGTTTCATTTGAACATGAGAAAGAAGTTATTTACTGTGAAGGTGACAGAGCACTAGAACAGGCTGCCCAGAGAGTTTATGGAGTCATCTTCTCTGGAGATACTCAAAACCCACCTGGACACCTACTTTAGTAAAGGGGGTTGACTGGACTAGATGATCTCCAGAGGTCCCTTCCAGCTCCTGTAATTCTGTGATTACAATAATCTACATGCTAATATTTTCTAGATCAGATAAGTAACATATGTAATTATTTCATTGTTTTTATTTTAGGATATTTAAAGCTACTAGCCCAAAGGGACAGCCACAAAATGGATTATACTGCATTAGGAACTCATCTACTAAGGCTGGAAAAGTAAGTTGCAATTGCAGAATCTACCTACAAAAACCTTTTGGATTTAGAGATGCTGTGTTTTTACATGTTAGAAGTACTTAGATTTTCTTGCTTGTTGTTAAGTACTGAAACAATTGCTATTATAACTTCAGTGATTTTTTTTAATAGGCTTGTCAGTTAATTGTAAATAATTCCTTAATTATGCATCAACTTTGAGCTTATCAGATTAAACTGATTTTGTTGCACTTTTCATTGTTAAGGTATTAGTTGTATGGGATCAATCTGCAGAAAAAGTGAGAAACTACAGAATATTTGAAAAGGTGAGTTGCTCTCCTCAATATGAAGCTTTTTGTTTATGTTTATATATGTATGATATCATGTACGTATGACGTGCAAGTATATGCATATGCATCACAATTCACAAGTCAAACTTACCCCAGCCCTAAAAGTAAAAGCAAGCTGCTTTACAGTATTTGTTCCAGGATGAGAATTCAAGTAATCGGACCTGGGCTTTTTGATTGCTGTACTGTACAAAAGATAAAGTAGCTGCAAATGTCCAAATCTAAATATCAGCCCCAGTTACATTCTAGGGGAAGGGCTATGAAGTTCTTGAGTTTAACTTGGACTTACTTGTATAAGTGAGAAGCTTGCAAAGCAGCAGCTTGATAGAAAGATCTTAGTTGTGATAATGTATTTTACTTCTTGTTGTCAGTATTTTTGGGTGGTTTTTTTTTTCTTTTTAAACATTGAGTAGGAAATATTGCAGCCAGTGACTGTGTATGTTTCTGTTCTACCACAGGACTGTAAATTCTACCTAGACGCAGACATCATGTTTCTGAACATGGGGAGTTTGGTTGAGTACTATAGCACTCATGTCCTACCTAGTCACGGCAGCCTGATTCTTCGGTGTCCTTATGGTTACTCTAAACCGAGGTGACAGAGCTGGCACAATTCACTGACACTGAGGAAAATTGGGTTCTCTGCTGTCTTGGAATTAAATGTGGACTTCTGCCACTGTTGGATTTCTCATTGTTTGCACACAGAACCTGAGTTTATTTCAATCATTTGTTCTCATGTGAACTATGTCTCCACTTAATGAACTCTTGGTAAAGTTTTATAATGCAGATCAGTGGATTTTGTGCCTTTCTCTCAGAAAGATCTGAACAGACTATTCTATGAAGGCCATCTGCGGCACCTGCACCTTTTTTTTTTTTTTTTGAAACTGCTGCTATTACTGATCTCCTTGGAATGTGGAGGAGAACAATGTCCACGTGAACAAAGAAGTGTTGTGAATACAGCCAAAACGGAAGAGGGAAACTTCTGAAAATACATCAGAATTCATTTGTGGCAGGGAATACTAATATTCTGACTTGAAGGTTTTTACTCCTTAAGTCAGGGCTGGTGCTGAACTTGTATTACTTGTATAGTTGATGTGTAAATAATGAAGTCTTTTGTGCAAATAATTTGGTTTACTACAGGTGAAGACGATTGGGAAATGCGACATTTTCTAAGCCAGTTGATACATAAATGTAATTTGTGATTACAGTGTCCACAGTAATCAGTACTGGCATACTGTCTGACAGATAGGGTTATGGCATCATATGTATTACTTAAGAACACTTCAAGTAGGTCTAGGTAATGCTGATTTGGTTTTAATGGGAGTCCCATTCCTTATTTGCAAACCAGAAGGTTTTTTTAAACACAAGAAAAAGCTACAGTTATTGTGATGTTACAATTATTGTATAAAATTTTGTGGTCGATTTGTGAGGATCGGGTTGTCAGCCAATTGCATTCTCTTCTGTTCCAGTGCAAAGCATCCTGTTCTAGTCTACTTTTTGTAGAACTCTACTAACTTTTTCATTATTAAAATCTCTATTAGATCAAAGCAAATGCAATGCAAACAAGATAAAATTAGTTTTTAGTGTACCATCAGCAATATCAATTATAGGTGTTTGCAGGGTGCTTATGTTTGTTCCCTAATATCATGGGGACAGGTATCCTAAACATAAGGGCTTGGTGGTTCTGAAATTGCCCTATTCCTGAATTTTTGTAAAGAGAAAGCTATTTTACTGACCTGCTACAACAACTTGGTTAATTCAAAAGTACTGTCAAATTATTATATTTAATAATGTTTATGAGACTTAATAAAAAAAGAATAATTTGCTGTAACTTTTGAAACAGGAGAAGCTATCTGGTTTCTGTCAGTTTGAATCCATAAATTTTCTGCTACCCTTACAAAGGTTATACATGTCAGGTTTAATCTTATTGTTATTAAATGGTCACAGCTTTAGAAACATTAAAATGTTACAGAATGAGAATTTCGTTTTATGAAAACAGTAAAATAGGATTTAATCCCTAAGGGATTTTTCTTAATAAGCTGTAATAATAGGATCTCACATAGAGCCAGCAGTTCTTACCTTAATTTCTTCATTTTGTTTGAGACTGATATGCACAATATCAGTCATTTACTTTCTGTTCCCACTGTAATAAACTTTTTTGTGAGCATAAATTAAAGAATGTGCTGTACTTAAATTTCAGATTCTCTTGAATATCAGATATGTCAGATTTGTAATTCCTTTTATTTTAAATAAGTATGCCTGTGGTTCACTGATCTGATGTGATTCACTTCACAAAGAAAGCTCGGCCAACAAAGCACTCCTAAAAACATTGGCACTTTTAGATGCGTGTATCTGTATTTTAGGCAAGCTCTAGTTTTTTTTTACAGTATTTATATGTACTGTTTACAGAGTAAATTTTTCTCTCTCTAGGAATAACTGACTCACTTCATCATGACAGTCATACTTACAATATGCTATGGGGCCAAATTCAGGTATTATTTTTTTAATTTTTGTTTGCAAATATACTCTCAAGATTTTTGAACTGTAAAAATACTTGTGTAATCCAGTACCTATAAACCATAATACTGTCTTTAGCTGTATAAGACTTGCAAATATGTAAATGTTAATGTTAATTTTCTTTTTATACAAATGTATATATTTCTGAAATGGATAAACTTCCAATGCCAACTCACCTATTTTGTGCAGTCTCACTGAACTTGCTGAGTATGTGCTTAATACCTTCTCTTGTAATTGTGTAAGTAGTGCTCTTCTAACTTCACAATTAGAAGAGTTAGGTTTTAGCCCTCTTGAATCAAATTTTTTTGTAAGCAACCATGTCAGACATTTGGCATTCTGGCCATCAGATAACACGGCTGGAGGTGAAAATTATCCATTTTATATTTACTTCCAAGGTTCTTGAGTGAGAGTTGAGGACTGAAGCATTCATTTTATCTACAGATACAAAATACAAGTGCAGCCATAATAAAAGGTACCTCAGAGGAACAGGAATGCGCTGTGCAAGAGAGCCAAGTCTCCAAAGGACTTCTTCAGCAGCTTGCAGGAAGGAGAGGCCCTTTGCATTTCCCAGCACCTAACAGCCCTTCTGTTCAGCAATGTTGGCATAACCCAGCAGGTTTCTCTGCCTCCTGAAGGCAAGTAGAAGGGGCAGCTAGGGACACACTAAGCAATTCTTCCAGATGGATTCCAAAGAAATCTGCATTCACACTCCCTTCTGAATCATCTTGCTCCTACATACTGTTCTAGTCTGTTTGGTGGAGAATTAGATAAAGTTACATTTCTGGTGTTTGTAGGGAAGAAAGGCACAGTTTAGAGCTCAGTCTGTCTCCTATGCCTCTTACACATCTTATACACCCCCACTGCAAGCTCCTTATCTTAAAGTGGTTTGGGGGAGAAGTGTAAAAGCAGTACTTGGCATGCCAAAATATGCAGTTTTGAGTTTGGTAACATACAAATCAAAATAATTGCTACTAATTTTGGATAAAATTCTGCACTTTCTGTCCAAATTTCTGTGAAAGCTTTGTATTTGTGGAGGAATAATTCTTCTAGGGAAGAAAAAAAAACAAAAAACGAATGGTTCTGAAAATATGGGATTTAAAATGGGACCATCAGTACAATACAATACACTGCAATAAAGTAGCAATAGGAATGCTAAAAGGGAATCTGATATTGAGCTTTTCTGTGAGACTGTGTGCTACATGCTGCTGCTTTTTGTAAGCTATCCCCTCAGAACTTAACACTTTTCAAAAGAATGTAAATAGGCAGTGAGAATATTTGTGCCCTCTGTTCTGTCTTGCTTTAGAAAATTGGAAGGAATAGTGATTTCTGAAGCCTTGATGGTGATTAGTTTGAATTTGGTGACATCTGCTGGTCAGCCTTTTCCATGCAGGGCTCTACCCAACAGCAACCCAACATGAAACATGTACGGATGTCATTTGAGTGGACATCGTCCTTAAGTGACTTTGGATAGGAGCTAGTTTAAAGCCTAACTTCAGGTGAAAAGCTGATGAACTGCCTCTTTGAGGGTGAAAGCATCTTTTTGCTCATGTTTCTTAGGTAAGTAGCAACATTGTTAAGCAAAATTAGTCATCTGAATGTATTTTAACCTAGATGATGACAGAATAATATAAGCAAGAATATAAAATTCAAAACAACTACTTTGAGATATAACTTGCATAATCATAGAATTTACACAGACATCTGAGAACTACCTAAATACCTGACATAATGAAGCACTAAGGAGTTGTTCTGAACATTAAATACTTCACCTAGCCTAAGTGTCTGATGTTGTAATAGTTTCCATCTTATTAAGAAGTCAATGTTTTTTTTCTAGAAAGAGAAGCAGTCTTTGATGACCATGATTACAGCCTCCTAAGAGAACTCTGAGCTCTCATATTTAAAAAAAAAAAAAAAAAAAAAAAAAGTAAATGCTATTAAAACCCTTGCAGAGCAGAAAGAGTTTGAGTTAACTTTAACTTGGGCAAACTGAAGCACCAAAGTTCAGAAAGCTTGGTATGTCTTGTAACATAGTGAACCCTAAAATCTACTCAGGACTTCCATTCCTGTGCCTTAAAATACAGGATAGTAGTTACTGTCAGTTATCTGTACCTCATTTCTTACAACTGCTACTTACTGGGAAGCATTTAACCCAGCCTCTCAGGTTCATGATGTATGTGACCAGAATGGCAATATAAGTATTGTTTTTAATGTAATTTTGCTTCTACATAACTCTAACGAAGTTGCTTTGTACAGAAATGACAGTAGTAACTGCTTGTGAGACTAAATCTTGGAAATAGATGGGGAAAATAAAGGGAGACCCATCTGACCCTTCTTTGGGTTAGTGCTTTGCTTTTTAACAGTACCATATTAATTCCTTTTGGGCCTAACCTTGATCCATCCAGTTCTTGTAGTGGGAAACAGACATGCACTTCAGTAATGACTTTTTTTGCACAGCTGGGGTCTCACAGTTGTACTGAAGGCCATTGATGTGAAAAGTACATCACAGACATAAAGAGAGTATTCTGTGTGATCAGGGTTTTCTTACAGGACAAGAAGAAAGATGTCCCAGGTGTAGCCTTGCAGGCTGTCTGTCAGGGATTCAGTGATTACACTGCGCTTTGATTTATGCTGTGCTACCATTCATACTTATTTTTCCAAGTAAATGGCAGCTACACCTTAACTGTGGGGTGCTGCTGAAAATTTGCCTTTTTAAAAATTAAATATGATTTAAAAGACTTCAAAATGTGTTCTTCTAACATTAGAAAGCTTCTCCCAACATAATTTAATTTTCTCTTGTATGTAGTAATAATTAATACAAAGCTTTAAACAAAATACTTTTTTTATCCATGTTTCTCAGCCCTCCTCAGTGCTTTGAACTTGCCCTAATGTCGTCTTTTTCTTTCTTTCTTTGTTTTATTCACCATGGCCTGTTTTTGAAGTCCCAGCTCTTCCAAAGGTATAACTTCTGGCAGTGGCACTTTTTCTCCTATTACTAAAGGATAATGTTTAAAAGCAACTGTAACTTTCAGCAGCTTTAGTAACTTTGGAATTAGCACAGAAGCAACTTGTATTGAACATAAGCATCGTGTGCCTTCTAGACTTATGAAGTCATAAATGTTGCAGTTAAAAGAATCTGCTTTATTTGGAGAAGGATTTTGGCAAAACAAATCCAGACCTCCACAAGCAGTGTTGTAACATTATGAAGAGAAAGTCAGTTTCTTGCTTTTTGGCTAAAGCTATCACCCTTCTCTTTTGCTATCGCACGAGTTGTATTAAGAAGCTTATGCAATAACATAAGCAAAACTCTTATGAACTGACTTGAACCATGAAGCTAGATTGATATTTAATCTGAATAGCGTACATTTTTCCGATTCCATCCTAAGCATAAAGTCAATATTTTTCAAACTTAAAGCCAAAATTAGCCTCTCAGTTTAATAGAGCGTATGTAAAATCTCACTGCTCTGCCCTTTCCTCACCTTAGCTTCAGTTCTCTTTTTCAGATGCAATTTTGTTTGGTTGTGGAGAGACATCAAAGCAAACCAGAATGTGCTTTTCCAGGTAGTTGTTCTGTTAGATCTTCTCATCTATATATGCCTTAAAGAACAGGAAAATTCTCCTTCCTTACATAAACAAATAAAAATAAATAAGTTTTTTTTTTAAAAAAAAACCCCTTCTGTGAAGAATATAACTGCAGCCAGGACAAAAATAAATTTTCTGATAGTGCTTTTGGGATAAACTTACCAACATTGACCAACTTTTATAATACTGCACTTAAGTCATGATATTTTATTAATACTGTTCTACGCAGATAAAGTTAAGATAATCCATTACATCACTTTTTAAAAAGGCATTTAAGTATAATGATTTCAAAGAAATGTTTCTCACAAGCTTTTCAATAGTAGTGCTATAATGGGCACAAGCTCACTTATCCCAGAAGTATCCCGTTCATCAGCAGGATTTGCAGGCCCTTGGGTGTTTCACAAAGACAATTGGTGTTTGCCACCAAGAAAAGCAAATCCTGCCTAGAAACACCCAGTACACAGACAGTCAGAAAAGAGAAGCTCAGGCAAACCAAGAGGGAGAGAGATACTTTGATACTGTCAATTACACTTTATGGGTAAGAAAACCATCCTAAAACTGCATACGTGGAAGGGGCCCAAGGAGAAGATGCATGTTTTAATGCCAGATTTGTGACATCAACCAAGTATCATGCTTCTTACAGATAGCTAAGTGGTTTGCGCATTCAGGACTGCTAATGCCAAGGTAAAGACTTGCATAAAAATAATTGTGCAGTATTTTCTGAGGCCTGGTAATGTCAAACTAAAGCAGCTGGTGTAAATGATCATATTCAGATAGACTTTTTTATTTTATAGATACCTTGATATTCTGTTGTGTAGCACTGCTGATGACTGAGTCTGCATAACTTATCAGAAGAATCAGCAGCTGGTACATCCATACCAACTGAGCAGTGCCAAATTCTGATGCTTCTTGTCTGAACACTGTACTACCTGAAAATATCTGGTAGTTTTTTATTTTTTCTGGTTTTTTGTTGGTTTTTTTTTGTTTTTTTTTGTTTAATGGATCAGTAAGCATGATCCAATATATGTGCAGATGTGTATATAGCAAACAAAACTATAGGTAGCAAGCTTGTCTTGGTCATTCTGTCATATCTCTCATAAGTAGGGCAAAAACCATGAAGGGGTCAGATACCATGACTAGAAAAACACTGTATGGTTCATGTTATTGTACCTTTGGTTGTAGCTGTAATCCTGTAAAATAAACTGGTAAGAGTTACTGAAGACAGGTAAGCCTAAAATATCATAGCAGTGCTTTTTCAGATTCTCAGCACCACAGTACTGTGTACTGCTTTAGTATGCTGAGCATGTGTGCACTCTCTATGACACTTTTACCCATGAGATCCCACCTTTGTTTCTGTGCCATTGCTGACTTTCATGCAGCTCAGGAACCTGCTCAGGCCAAAAACTGAATTGGCACGGTTAATAGTGTCATACATCAGCTTCAGCAGCCTCTGGCTACAGAGTGAGCTGTTTGAGCCTGCTGATTCAGCAGAAAGCTGATCTTGCCCCTTATGCCCCAATTATCAGAGTAGTTTGGTGAAATGATACATTCTTTGGCCTCAGTACTGTGCAAGGAAGTTGGAAGGGGAGAGCAGGAATGGTGACCTTGGGCAGGTCACAGGGTAGTACAGCAGAAAAAGACAGGGTTACAGAACTGCACCTTCTGCAGCTTTTAATGTTTGGTAAAACAGCATCTAATCAGCCCAAACTGCTGCTGGCACAGCTCCCTGTAGTTACAAGCACTTTAAGCCAGCACTGCTAGCAAAACAGATGATGTTGCCCTTCCATGGTCACCACTTCTGACTTTAGCATCACCTTCCCTGTTGGCTCTAACGTTCTCATAGCCAGGGCTAGGAAAAACATTTTAATAGAGAGTAGTATTTTTTGCCAAATACATTTTTGTATGGATGAGTTGTCCCATGTACTTCACTAGACAAGCAAAAGAGCTTTATCTGTTAAAGAGGTGAAGAAGGGGCCGAGCTGAAGGGGAATTCTGACATAGTCATCCACATGCCATGGGGCAGGCAATGCAGAGGCACTGAACCTCTCAGAGCACCTGCAGCCTTCTTCGTTAGGCTCTGAACCAGATGGTCTTGTATGTAAACACACCGCTGGGTTCAGTACCAGATAGAAGTGACTTTATTTAATGCGTGGGGTTTACAGCAACAGTCCTGCCCAAAACCAAACATTCAAAATGTAGACACTGTTTGTTAATTGTTAGTAATTACAACACCAATTGGGATTAGGTGTTCCTACAGCCAGCAGTGTCTTGCTATCGGATTTGCAACAGTTATCCTGTCTACTTTGCAACCAAATCACAGTTTCCAGCGGTTTAGATCAAATTCAAGTTCTCGTGTATCTCTACAGCCTGCATTTCAATTCTAAGCAGCGAAGATTAATCGCCAGAAAGCGCAAAGCAAGGCTGGGAGTTATCTTTCCGTCGCACCGCTCCTCGGCAGTTACTCGATTGCTGCCTCTCTCTCGCCGCGCTGCAGATAAGCCCCTGTACCGGGCGCTGCTCCGTTCTACAGTGAGCAACCTCCACACCAACCCTCGCCACGCTCCCACAGCCGCTCCCGCTCCACAGAAAGCTCGGGGGCGCAGACCTCTGCCACCGCCTCCCCTCACGCGCCTCCCGCCCCGCGGCCGCCTCCAGCCAATGGCGGAGCGGCTTGCTCGCCGCGCTCGCGCCCTCCAATGGGCGGCGCGATTGTTGGCCTGCGGCCCGGGGAAGCCGCACCCTGTCAGGCGGGGGCTGAGGGGGGGTGGGCGGAGCTCGGCGCTGGGGCCAGCGGCGGAGGCGACGGGCTCGGCGGAGAGGTTGCCCGTTGCGGCCCCGTCTTTCTCCTTCCGTCGCGCCGGTGCCCGCTGCCTTTTTCTCGTCTGCCCTCGGGTGAGCGCTGCTGCGGTGGGCGGGAAGGGGCGAGGAGGAGGAAGAGGAGGAGGAGGAGGAAGGCGAGGGGCGCGCGCTGCGGAGGGGCGCAGCCGTTAACGGTCCGCGGCGGGCGGGGGCGCGGCCGGCGGCGGCGGTTGAGGAGGCGCGCGGAGCTGCGAGGGGCAGGAGAAGGAAAAGCGGGCGGCGTCGGTAGCGGCTCGCGTGGCTTCAGGAGGAGGGGAAGGGGTTGCGGAGCCGCCTCGAAAACAGACAGCGGGAGCGGGGGGTGGGAACCCGGCTGCTGCAGCCCGCTGCGGGGCGGCGGCGGGAGGTGCGTTCCGGGCGGGATGCGGCGGCTGCGGGCAGGTCTCTGTCAGCCGGGCGCTGGAAGGTGCTGCTGCTTCCAGCTCGGTTGCCCTCAGCGCCGCCCCCGCCGTCCTTCTGCCTCACCTGCCCGTTCTGCGGCGGGCGCTTGTTTTGTTTCCTGTGCTGGAAAACGGTGCCTGTCTGTGCGTCTGCTGTTTGATGTCGCGCGTCTTTCCGCACGTAAATACTCTGCAGTCTTTGGGGCGTTCTAAGGGTTGGTTATTAATCTGCGTTGGCTTTAGGTGAAACCAGCCATTAGAGAAGGGGGAGAGATCCGGTCAGGCTGGAAAAATCCCCATGGTTGTGTTGAGACGAACACTGGGTGGTATCTTCACGAGGTGCTGCCGATGTTGTTTTCCCCTCTGCTCTCTGGAAAGTTGCTGCTGATCGTGAGTGTTATGTACAAAAAGCGTTTCAGGGTGACATGTATGCATATGGAGCTCCATGGAACACTCCTACCTTCTGCTGGTGGGTTCTCGAATCCTCATGCTGCAACAACTGCCAGATATTTCTGTATGCCTTGCAGAAAGCTACAGGTATCTCTGAGCAGGGATCATAGAATCCTTAGAGCTGGAAGGGACCTCTGAGGACCATTTCGTCCAACTCCCCTGCAGTGAGCAGGGACACAGCACCTAGGTCGGGTTCCCCAGGGCCTGATCCAGGGCCTTGAAAGTCTCCTGGGACGGGGCATCAACCTCATCACTAGGAAACCTGTGTCTCTGCCTCAGCACCCTCACTGTAAAAGACTTTTTCCTTTTATCCTACTTAAATCTCCCCTCTTTGAGCTTAGAGACCGTTTACATCTCTGGGCTTTGTAAGGTGACCATGCGTGCTGATGGAACTCAGTAGATCTTAGCTGTCCCAAGTATTATCCTTGCTGGTAGAATAAAGATTTAATTTTAAAAATAAAGAAATATAAACTTAGGTTTCTATTTCCTTCACCAAATTGATTGATATAAGAGCTGTGTTTCTCAGTTTTAGAGTTGTATTCTGACCCTGTTTTTTATTTTACAGCAGCGGACTGGCTCCTCATTCTGCAGCAGTTGTTTTTACATTCAGCAGGCCAGTTTGATGTGATCATATAAAAATAGGCTTAAGTGAACATAATGTCTTATGGAGTTTGCTTCAGAATTTAAATTTGGTGGTTTGCTCAGAGTTTGCAGGAACTGAAAGTTTTTACATCTGTGCATCAGAATGCTTGCATGTTTAGGCATTCTGTAATTTTGCTGGCTTCCTGTCTTCTATATGAGGCTCCATGTGGGATATGCTTCCTTAGCTGAGAACAGTAGTGCTGCCTGAGTGTTTGCTTCTTAATGTTGGTGAATAAAAAATGGTATGGGAAATCTGAATATCATGCTTCATCTGATACAAGCACTTTTGCCAGCGTGTTGTGCCAGTGAGTTCATTAGGGTATGGTTCGCTAATGCAGTAGTGAAGAAGGTCATTTAGTGAATCAGTATTTTTCTGTGACAGTTTTTTCAGTGTCTCCAGCAGAAAATGACTCATCTCTGTTCTCATTCTTTGAGATTCGCTGCTGGTGTTGGATGATATTTTGTAGGTACAGAATCAAGTCATTTGGTGAGAATATGTGGCCAAACCCACTGAAGTACTGAGAGGCTTACATGGCATGAAGCTGCTTCTGCCCCATGTGAGTCTGGTTTTGAAGGGTGGCTTCCCAGCATGGAGTGCTTTTACCAAATCTCCTTTACCAGCATTCTGTGAAATACCATGGAAGAAAAAGGCTGGATTTCAAGTTGGCTAATTTTGTTAAGAAATAGAGTAAAATATTATAATGGAAGGCATCAAACGAGGAGAACCACATTCAACATGTTGGTTGCTAGTAAGCATTCAACTTCTGTGTGACAAGTACCTTCTCAATCTGGAGAGGTTAGGCAGTAAGCCTTGTACCTCCTACTTTCTGGAGTTGCAGTATTTGTAATTATTTAAGAATTAACGATGGTGAAGATTGAGTCATTTGTAAATCCTAATGTCTGTACAATGACTGACTCCTGCTTAGAGGAGAAGAATAAAAAGGAAACTTCTCTATGCCTTTATGAGAGAGCATATCAAACAAGTGTTGCCTTGGTGTTCTCATGTTTTATGTGTCCTCACTGCATGGCAAACTAAAAATAATGCTAAATTTCTGATGTTAATGCCTTTTAGACACTTTCAGAGTTATTGGTGCTTCATATTTTAAAGCTGATTGAGGAGATATGCATGGAAGCTTAACCTGCTGGTTCTGCTGGGCAGAGCATTTGACGTCTGCTGAAGAACCTGTCTGAAAGTCTCCCGTTACCTCATAGAACTTCTATGTTAACAGATTCTAGTGCACTAACTTCTTTTAAATAGTTGTCCTTCAATTACATGAGTTTTGGAGTTTTCACCCATCTCATTAATGCCTTTAATGTTTTTTTGCAAGAGCATTCTTTTTCATAGGGCTGAGAATGGCAGCTGTACAAACCTGTTGGCTAAGGAAGTTTGGGAGTGTGAATCATGTAAAGCAGTGCACTTGTTGAGGAAGGCTTCTGTTCATTAGGGATGGTGATGCTTAAAAAGTGTGAATTGTACAGATACTTCCATTTATGATAATTTTGGCTTTAAAATTACCCTTTTATTTGGAGAGGTAGTGGAATGGAATGTTCAACATAACACATGCATTATCATCTCAGTAAATTTCTGCTGTTTATTGAAATTCATCCTGGTAACCTTTGGTCAGATTGAGGAAAGAAAGCAATGTTTACATCAGTCAGAGGATGTTGTTTACTGCAGTCTTGTCAGCCCAGCAATCTCAGTGCGGTTAGTGGTTACAAAAGTTGTAGGGGCTGAGGGAAGAGCAAAGACTGTGGGAAGCACCATTTCTAGAATTACCATTTCTTCAAATCAGGTATGAGCTGAGGTAATGTCATTTGTCACAAGGGCTCTGGATTAGCGTTCTGACCAACCACCCAGGTCCTGAGTATAGTTCAGGTGTTACTGCGACTTGGGGAATTTTAAAATTTATCTGCTCATCATTTCAGGGCAAACTGAATTTAGGAGCAGAGCTGGACTTGAGCAGCTGCTGCCAGTTGGGCTGGCTCAGCTGTCTTATGCTTGCAGGCTTTGGTGGATTGGCTCTTTGACCGTTAAGAAACTGAAGATGTTGTCCTTTTAGGTGTGGCTAAAGAGGACAAGAACTGCTTGAACACCTGCCCAGCTTCCTCCTTGCAGCCTCACTTCCTAGGTTGTGTTTTGAGAAACGATCTCTTCCTGCTCTGTTGGGTGCACTTACTGTTCAGTGGTGGATCCGCCTCTCAACCTCCGACCAGTTGCGTTCGCAAGTGAGACTTCAAAGAGTCTTTCACTGGCGGCTGAGTAGTTTCCCTGCAGATTAATTAAAAATCAAAATACGTGAAGAAGAGCACATTTCAGGTCACTTTTAAGTCTGGAGTATCAAGAACAGCTCTTCAAAACTGGGATTTGAAGTTTTCATGCTCTTCAGATGGGTCAAATAAATATTGCTTTCAATTTGTAATTGATAAACGCATTGTGTTTTCTTTCTTTTTCTAATTACTATCTTTTACACCATGTGTTATGTATTGTTTTCTGATCTTGACTCATTAAATGTAAAAAAAAAAAAAAAAAAACATTTTCTAGTTCTGAGATTTTCTTCCATATACCTACATGAGTAGTAAAGGAGTAGTTAATCAGTAGCTCTTTATGGCATCTCTGATACTTTCTCATCAGAATAGTGGTTGAATCATGGTACTTATCCATTCACACACAATAGATAAGGGGAAAAATCAAATTAGTTAAGATTTTTGATTGGAGACAGTAAGCATTTTAAAACAACTTTGGGGTAAGAAACTATAATTTGACTTGCAGTGGAAACTTGGTTTATTTTAGATTTGCTTTCTTTTCTATCTATGTGTCAGATTTCTGTGGTGCTATCTGTGCTTTTTATCTCAGTTGTGGTTCAGATCTTCCAAGGTCTAGTACACAATTTCAGCTTTGTTCTAGTTAATGAAGTTTTGCCAGATGGAACGAGCAAGTGATCAGGCAACCCTGGGCACATGAAGGTTGTCTGCTTTTCTGTTCTTTTCTGGTTGGTTGGTTTGGGTTTTTTTGTTTGTGTATTTTTAAGGTTACTTAGAACTATGCATATAATTACTATCCCAGCATTCTCACTGTGAAGGTGAAAGGTACAGAGTACTCAGTGACTTTAGTTCTCTGCTGATGGATGATACAGTTTCTTTAATTGTCACTATGAAGTACTGCTGAAAGTTTGTGGAATATGTTTGCATGCAAAACACCATTCCATTAAGAGAAATGGGGCATTACTGATATTGTACATTAACCAAGAGATGCAGCATACTTAGTTGTGCTTTTTTTTCTTCCAGAAAATCTTGTCTAGTGCAGCTTTGCTTATTAATCTTGAATGAGCACAGCTTCAAGTATTTCTAAAGCACAGGGCCTTAGTTCCTCACATTGTCACTTCAGCTTCTGAACACATAGCTGCATTCAGCCAACTTTAAGTAGTGAAGCGGTTACTTCAGGAATACTGAGTGCCTGTTGTCACATACTGATGACCTGAGTCACACACTTGTGCCCCACAGATCACAGAATCACAGGGGCTGGAAGGGTCCTCAGGAGATCAAGTCCAACTCCCCTGCTAA